GCGCGGCACGCGGCGCGCGCGCCTCGCCGGCCGCCGGCAGCCCGGAGGGCGACGGCCGCTTCTACACCCCGCCTGGCGCCGCGCGCCCCAACAGCCGCGGCAGCTGCAGGGGCGGCGAGTCTGACGATGCGGACGACTCGGCGGACGCTGACGAGGACACGGCCAGCGCCGGCCCCGGCCTCTCCCCGCGCGGCTTCGAGGGGGCGGACTGCGCCAGCCCAATCGCCTGGTTCACGCCCCTGCAGGCGACGCCGCCGGGGGGCGGCGCGGGCGGGGCGGCGGCAGCGGCGAAGCCGGCCCACGGGACCCAACCCGGCTCGGCGGGCCCGCGGGACAGCGGGGGCGGCGGGGCGCGGCGGGCGGCGGCGAAGCAGGGCGCGACCCCTGCCTCGGGCGCGCCGCGGAGGGGGCAGCAAGGTGGCGCCCGAGGGCGCAACCGCAACTGACGGCGCTTTGCTGTTGCTGCTGCCACAGTGCACGACGTGATGTGGCCCAGGGCCTATTCTTTGTCATCATCCCAAGTGACCCGGTTACTCGACAAAGTGAGGGATCAGCCCCCTTTTGCACGACCCTCACGCAACCTCCTGAGCCAGCCACTGCTGCTCCCACAAAAGCGGATGGGCACTTGATGTGACGCCACCCGGCCGCCCCGGGCGTGATAGTCATGTGAGCATGTAAACGTGCTTGTGAGGGGGGCCGTGTTGGCCAGCAAGATAAAAAATGACTACTGTAAACCCCTTGATGGTACAGCGCAGAGGTGTGTGCGTTAATGCGCCGCGCCGCCTTTCCAGCAGCAGCACAGCACCAGTTCTGAAACGCCCGCAGCGTGCGATGCGGGTCGTTGGAAGAAATGAAATGAAATGGGCCGCCAGGCGGCCCGTGCGCCGGTGCAACTGTCGTGCATTTGGCGTGCTCTTGGAAAGAATGTGGGATTTGCCCTGTGTATCATCAAGATGTTAGTCGACGTGAATGCCGAATAATCAAAGGATCAAATCAGGACCGAAACCTGGGGACAGCGCGTGTGGGGTGCCCGCAGCCACACCCCTGCGTCAGTGCCCCGCCCCGGGCTGCGTGCCTTGTTCACTCCATTGCCCCGCCCCGCCGCATCTCAAAGCACTCCGACATCCTTGTTGTGCTCAGATGCTCAAGAACGCCAATCGCACCATGATTTCTTCGGATGCATGTGTATGCACGTGCCCTCATCCCACGCGCGCTCTGTTGGCGCCCTCTGTCAGCGCCGAGCCACGCCTTCATGTGTCGCACCCAGGCCAATCCTCGTCAGCTGAGACCGGTTCCATCAGTTCCAGATCACTTCGGATTAGAACAAGACTCCCTCCACCCTGGGGGACCAGTCCATATCGCACACCACAGTCCGCCGCATCCGCGCGTCCCCCGCCTCGTCAGCCAGCAGCAGCGCCGCGTTCAGCCCCGCCACCAGCTTGGCCCAAGACGTCTCGCTGACCGCCATGACCCCGTGGCGGGCGCCGCCGGCGGTTATAATCTCGAGCTGCTCGCCGCCCGCGACCCAGACCCCAGACGTCAGCATCACGCGGTCGACGCGCGCCCCGGCCGCCGATGCGGCGCGCGCGGCGGTCGCGACGTGCAGCGCGCCGTCCGGCCGGATCACGAACTGCAGCTGCTTTGCAGCCGCCGCGGCAGCCGCCGCCGTGCCGCCCCCGCTGGCGCCGGCGCCGCTGCTGCTGCCGCTGCCGCGCGCCGCCGCGCCGTCCTCTTCGCCGTCGTTAGCGTGATCGCCGCGGCCGTCGTGCACGCGAGGGCTGCGAAATCCGCAGAGCCAGCCGCCGCGCACCGGCGACCGCGAGCGGCGCCCGCTCGCCGGGCTAGCGCAGCTGCTGCCTTCGCCCAAGGTGCCCGCCCGCCCTTGGACCCAGGCAGCGTCGGCGCTGCCAGGGGCGGGCGAGGCCGGCGGCTTGAGAGGCAGGTCGACGAGAGTGCCGCAGCACAGCGCGTCTCGCGCGCCGGCCAGCGTCATGCTGCGCAGGGTTGTGTGCTGCAGCACCAACCGCCCCGTGACAGTGTCTTCAAGCTGCGGCATCAGGCGCCGAACAGCGTCGACGTTGCCACCGGCCATCGGCCAGCAGTCAATTGCGTAGGTGTTGACGTCTGCTGGACCCTCGCGCTCCTCTTCAGCCGCCACCACCGCCGCCGCCTCTGCCGCCGCCGCTGCTGCCGCTCCCGCTGCTGCTGCTCCCGCTGCTGCTGCTCCCGCTGCTGCTGCCGCCTTAAGACTTGGGACAAGGATCCCGGGTCGGGGCTCCACTCGCAGCAGTGCCTGTGGCCCACACACACTGCCCGAGCCCTGCCCTGCCGATGCAGCATTTGTGGCAGCGGCCACCAGGACCGCAGGCTGCTCGAATGAATATGGTGCCACCATCAAGTTGCCATGCGGCGCAACATTCAAACCCCCTTGCTGCTGCTGCTGCTGCTGCTGCTGCTGCCGCCGCTCTGTGGCTTCCGCAACCTGCAACGTTGGCTCTGCCATGCACGATTTCACTCGCCTGTGCAATGCCCCTGCAGGTTTGGGGCTGGCCAGGGCTGACGCGCCACCCTCGCCGCATGTAACGGGGCTGCAGAGTTTGCCCCTGGCTCTCTGGCAAAGTGGGGCTGGCTGAAGCTGTGCCTGCTTATTTAACGACGCCAGTAATGGCGGCGGCGACGACAGGCACAGATGTGCCGATGCAGGGGCCGTGAGGAGTCCCTTGATCGCTGCTGCCGCCGACGGTGGCCGTGCAAATAAAGCAGCATCGAGCGGCGCAGTCTGCAGCCCACTTGCGCGCGCGCCCGGCGCCGCCGCCGCGCGCGGCGCCGCGCGCAGCGCAGCTGCGGATCGCGCAAAGGCGCCACCGTCGGCCCAAGACTGCATCCCGCCTTGCCTGGGCGGCGGCAGCGACGCCGGACGCGGGCTCTCCCGGGGGTCGCTGTCCGCGCCGTCGCGCGCGGAGCGTGCCCGAAGCGAGCGCACGGCGCTTGGCTCAGCAGCCAGCAGCTGCTCGTCTCTGGCAGACGGCATAGAAGAGGCTGCCCTGGCCAACGCCGAGGCCTGCCTGGCAATCAAGCCATGTTCACCCTTTGGGCCTGGTTCAAGCTGGACCGAGGCAGCGCGCGACGTGGACGCGCTGCTCAAGGCCTTCTCGGCAGCCAGCCGGAACGGCGTTGACAGCACGCATGTCCGCAGGTGCTGCTGCTGCTGCTGCTGCTGCTGCTGCTGCTGCTGCTGCTGCTGCTGCTGCTCCTGCTGCTGCTGCTCCTGCTGCTGGGCGGCTGCCAAATGCCACTGCCATGGCTGCTGGTGCGGCTGTTGTGGCTGCGCCTGCCGGTGCTTGCGCAGCTTCTGCTGCTGCTGCTGTTCCTGCTGCTGCTGCGACTCTTCCTCCCTCAACTCCTGCTGCTGCCCCGGCCGCTGCTGCTGCACCGCCTCCTGCTGCTGCTGCACCGCTTCCTGCTGCTGCTGCTGCTGCTGCTGCTGCTGCTGCTGCTGCTGCTGCTGCTGCTGCTGCTGCTGGTGCCCGTGCTGTTTTTGCTGCAGCTGCGCTGCACGCCGGAGCTCCTCTGCTCGCAGCCTTGCCAGCAGCCGCTGCTGCATGGGTCCGCCAACACCTCGGCCTCGCAGGCCTGAGCTGCCGCCTGCACCATTGCGCTGCAGCAGCTCAAGCTCTGATCTCATCTGCTCCAGGAGGCTGGCCACCCTAACATGGCTACTTCTGCGGACGCCCTGCAAGCGCCTGTGCACTGGCGACGATGGCGGAGACACTACCAGCCCGCTGCTGCCGCCACCGCTGCCGCTGCAGGTAGCCTTGGCACAGGGTGATATGATGCTTGTGGAATGTCCGCAGCGCCGCTGCCTGTGGGCAGAGGGCAATCATTGGTGACAGGAGGAGGCTTGGCAGGGCAACGAGCGCGTTGAACCCATGCTGAAAGATTGTACAGCGTGCACATAAATATCTCATTAGTTAGCGCAGCATGATCTCCCTGGACCCCACCTTTCAAACTCGCCGACGCGTTGCTGCACAGAGAGGCTCGGCACCGCCGCCTCGTAGAGTCCAAGCTCAACCCCCTGCAGGCTTGACACTCGCAGTGCCGACGTGGCCGGTGCTGCGGTCGCCAAACATCTGCTGCCTGACGACAGCAACCGCTGCTTAATAGCCGCCACTGTCGTTGTCTCCGCCACCCCTTCACCGCTGCAGCTGCCTGTGGCGCGCGGGCTTGGCGTGCCTCGCGCAGAGAGCACGCTCTGCTCGCCGCCGCTGACTCCGCCCCTGGCATTGCTTGCTGTGCAGGCTAGCGCTATGGGGCTGGGGTCTGGGCTAGGACTGCTGACCGGCCGTCCGACCGGGCTGACAACCAAACCCCCAAGCTCAGCTTCGAGAGCTGCTTCTTCCCGCTGAAGCTGCTGAAGCATCGCGTCCATGTTGGTCAGGGCTTTGCTGTTCACCTGCGCCGCTACTTCAGCTGTGCATGCCTGCGCAGCTGTCTCTGCCTCCCTGACTGACAGAGAGCGGCTTGCATGAGTGCCCCCCGCCACGTGATGCTGCACCACCGCAGCACTCACCCGGGCGTTTGACTGCTGCTCAGCATGCCTGGCCTCAGGCGTGCGACTGTCGCTGTGCTGCTGCTGCTGCTGCTGCTGCTGCTGCTGCTGTTGCAGCTTGTGCTGCTGCTTCGACTGCTGCTGCTGCTGCTGCTGCTGCTGCTGCTGCTTGCACTGCTGTTGCTGTTGCTGGTGCTGCTGGTGCTGCTGGTGCTGCTGGTGCTGCTGGTGCTGCTGGTGCTGCTGCCGCTGCGGGTTGTGGTGGGGCCCCTGCTGCTGCTGCGGCTGCTGCGGCGGCTGCTCCTGATGCTGCTGCCGCCGCTGCTGCTGCCATTGACCAGCAGAAGGACTGGTGCTGATGGCCTTCTGTTGTGCACTAGCACTGCCGTGGCAGCTAGCCGCTGCAAGACTGTTGTTCAGCAGAGCACACCTGCCGGCGGGCATGGGCGATGCCTTTCGAGCAGGTCCGGCACAGGAGCCGCTCGGAGAGGCGCCGCGGCCCTTGCATTCACCAGCTGCAGCTTGCTGCTTGGCCTGTCCTGCCGCTTGCTGCCCTAGCGCGCCCGGCTGCAAGGGGGCAGGTGGCGCCGTGCTGGGGCTCATCACCTTGGTGCGTGCAGCCAGTGCCATCTCGTTGCCTGCCTTCGTGAGCATGCAATTGTGTTGGGTTCCCACATTTGGAGGAGGCAGAGCGACGTGCCATGCAAAGCGAGAAAAGTTTGAACGCAAGCACTGACCATGTGCTTGCCTTTGGTCCCCATGAGTACGACATCAGCACAACCGCAGCAGAACTCAGAACTTCGAATTTTCCTTCTCCCCACTGCCCCACCCACCTGCACGTCGCACCCAGCAACGGCTGTCACGTCCCGCCTCAGCAGGTCCCTGAGGTTGATCGTGGCGAAGCTCGTGCCTTGCGCAGGCGTCGCCAGCGACGCCAGAGGCGCCGGTGCCGTCTGTATGGCGCGCTGCACACAGTAGCTCGTGGTCCTGGGGCTGGCACCAGGGCTGGCCCGCAGTAGCGGCCGGCTTTCGCAATCCTGCCCCTGGCCGTGCCCCTGCTCCTGTGCCTGTTCCCCTTGTCGTCCGCTCTGTTTTTGCTGCTGCTTGCGTTGCTGCTTTTGCTGCTCGTGCCGCTGCTGCTGCAGCTGATGCCTCTGCTGCTGCTGTTGCTGCTGCCGCTGCTGCTGCTGGTACAGCTGCATCAGGGGAACCCCCTTCGCCCGGATGCCCATGCGCCTCTGCCCGCCGCCCTGCATGGAATCCTGCTCGCTGCCGTCATCCTTGCCGCCAGCGTCTGGTGACGACACGTCTGCCGCGCCTGCAGCAACTAACGACACGCGCATCAGCCGCACGCTCGACTTGGCAACTCCACGGCGCCGCGCCCCACTGTTGCTCCCTCGCCGACCAGCAACGTGAGTGGAAGGCCCGCCTCTGCCGCCCCTGCCGCTCCCCCCGCTGCTGCTGCGTGTGGGCCTTGCGCGGCCGCTGGTGGCGGCGCCGGCTGCGCTGGTGCACGCAGGATCCGCGCGGCGCGGGGACTTTCGGGGGCGGGCCAGCAGCTCTGAAAGCTCCTCCAGCACTTCTCTCACCGGCAGGTCTGCCGCAGAGGCCGGCAGCCGCGCCAGCACCGCGGCCTGCTCGTCTGCGCTCTTGACGCCCCCCCGCGGCGTCACAGCGCCGCAGTGGGCGCACGTGTTGCAGGCACCTCGCAGGGCCGGCGCGCAAGGCGGGTTGTCGCAGGCGGAGACGCCGGCGGTCGTGGCGCCCCGCCCCGCGCCATCAGCTGCAGGGCACTCTGCTGCGGCTGCAAGCGGCCGCGTGGCCAATCCTGCACCCTGCTCGTCCATCCCCTTCGCCGTCGCTGCAGGCCCAGCCGCCACCTCAGGCCCTGGGATCTGCTTGCCTGGTCTGGTTGTGTTCCACCACTGCTGCTGCGGCTGCTGCTGCTGTGATTGCTGCGGCTGCGACCGATGCTGTCCTGCCTGCTGCCGCGCAGCCCCAGCCGCATCAGCCTCTTCATCCTGTGAGTCCTCATCATCCGGCGCGGGCGCCCCGGGGTCGCTGACGCCGGCGTAATCGGCTGCAGCAATGAGGTAGTCGCCGCCTTGGCTCACGTCGAGCCTCTCCTCAAGGCTGGTGCCGTCCTCGGCCTTTGGCGGCGCCTGGAAATCGCCAAAGCAGCCATTGAGCGGCGGCGTGCTTGCGGCCTTGGCGCCGGTGGATGTGTCGGTGTCGTCGGCAGAGGCGCGTGTCTGCGGCAGGGTGCAGGTTGGAAGGCAGCAAGGCTTGTATATGTGACGAATCAAGGGTTGCGCCGCCGGCGCAAGTGCCCCATCTGGCTTGATGCCGTTCAAATCGTCCTATACAGGAAAGTGCATGTGCTCCTGGCCCTGATGGTCCTGCACGACCGCACTGCCCTCCACACACACGATGCACTATGCAGCACCTTGTCGCAGGGGGGTTCTGCCACCTCTGCTGGGCCCACGCCATTGAGCAGCTGCGGCAGTGACGCCGGTGTCTTGCAACGCGGAGGTGCTTGCGCCTGCATCCGCACCACGGCCTGCTAATGGGGCGGGGTATGCGGCACAGCAGCAGCTAGCTCCATCACTGGTATTGGGTGCGGATGACGGTACCGACAGCAGCGGCACGGCAGTAGCCGGGTGCGGTGGCAACCCTCGCGGCTTATGAGTTCATCAAGCCGCACCAGAGCCTCCACGGTGTGCGTGGCGATGTCTTTGGCCGAGTTGAATACATTTCCCGAGTCGAGAGGCAAGCCAGCGGGCTCGCTCTGCCCCTCCTCCATCGTCCGTGGAATGCTGAATTGAATTTCAGTTATTCGATTGGCTTGCAGCCGGTTAACCTTCAAACGCGCTCGGACAGGGACCACAACAGCATGGTAACCGTTGCATGGCGGTCTAGAAGCAAGAAATGCCAGAAGATTCAATGTCAGCTCCACGCTTCTGCAAACCGTACGGTGCAGTGCGCATCGCCCTTGCTGCTGACGGGAGAGTGCGTGTTGATCGTGTTGACACATTCACAAGACCAAGACCACACCCTTATCAGCTCAGCAAAGCAGGGTGTTGAAGTATATGACTTCTTTGTTATAATGCCGTGACAAAGCTCTACGGGATCTACTGTGAGTCAAGAGGTGCCGGCGATCATGGAGGCGAGACAATACGAGCCTGTGGCCCGTATGCAGGCAAAAGTGAGCTAAACATACACAAGCGATGAAACGCTGATCACCGCGTGCTTGGATGCTGCCTGTGTCCGGTGCTCTGCGAAGCGGCGCACCAGCCTGCTGCGCTGCTTTGGCACGAGCCTGCTGCGCTGCAGTTGCGTTGCACCTCAAGGGTTTTCCGTAAGGGGTTGCACAGCTGGAATCGCCTTTTACGGCTCAAATCACAGGTGCTTGTCTGTATGGCCATGCAATTGTACCACTGCAACCACAGGCTGCCTCACTGCGGGAGGAGCTGCGAGCTGTGCGGGAGCAGCAATCACGCCCGCAGCAGCAGAGTGGGCCGCACCGGCTGGATTTTGACCGCCTGAAACAGGAGCAGCAGCAGCAGCAGCAGCAGCAGCAGCAGCAGCAGCAGCAGCAGCAGCAGCAGCAGCCTCGCGCAGATACCGTGCGTCCGTGCTCACCGCAGGACAGGCGGGACTCCCTCACCAGCACGGAGCAGCGTCATGGTGAGCTGCAGTACAAAAACATGACCAGGTTCAAGCGCTGCACTATGTTTGGATGCCTTATAGCCTGGATGCCATCAGCATACTTTGTCATCAACTCCTGTGCCCTTGCGATACGAATGCAGTGTCAAGCGAGGTACTGGCGTGGCGTCGGGTTTCCCAGGGCAATGGCACTGGCAGACCGGGCAGCGCAACAGCGGAGGGCCACCGGGGATTGGCAGCGCAGTGCAGGCAGCTGGAAGTTCAGCTTGAGGTTGTTAAGGTGGGGGCCTGCCGATGCACTGATGGCATGTCCAAACGTGGACAAGGACACGCGCTGATCTTTCGAAAAGTGTGACGAGCAGGGACAGGTGTGCTCGGGGATAGATATCGTCGTCCTGCTCAGGATGCACTGCATGCACCCAGAACCACCCACGCACGTGCCGCACGCATGTTGTACGGGGTTGCAGGCTAAGCATGCCGAGGCTTTGCTGGAGCTGGAGCGGCGGCAAGACTCCTACATGCGTCGCGAGGAGCAGCTGAAAGCGCAGCTCACAAAGGCGTTGGCAGCGTCAGGCCAGTCGGGCCTCTGGGGCCCGGCGCCGCTCGGGGTGGCGCCTGATGCTGCAGCAGGCGAGGCCTTGGACGCTGCGGTGGGGCCCGGTGATACTGCGGCAAGCTCCCCTATGGCGCCCGGCGCCGCGGCTGCTGGCGGTGAACGTGCGGGCCCGAGCGTAGGGGTACCGTGCGGCCTGGCCGCGATGCAGCGGGAAGTGCTCAGCGGCGTGGAGGGCCTGCTGGAGCGCCAGAGGCTGGCGCTGCGCGCGGAGGAGGTGGCGCAGCTGAGGGCGGCGCGGGCGCGGCTGGCGGAGGTCGAGGCGGAGCTGGCGCGGGAGCGGGGCGAGAGGGAGCAGGAGCGGGGCGCCGGCGGCGAGAGCCTTGTAAGTGGCGGGCTGCGCAGTCTGCGATGTAGTCGTGTTGCACCGAGTGGTTTTGTCACATGATAAATGGCTTTAGCATGATTTGGCGTTGCGATGGGTGCTAGTAGCTGCAGCAATTCACACGCAGGTACCAATTGCGCATCAGCGTCAATTCCACAGACAAGCTTGATGCATGCCATGACCACCTACATGTGTACGGCTGATTTGTTGGCTGTGACGGGTCATGCCATCTCATCTGCACACCTTTGCAACTGTCCTTACAGGCAGCCATGCGTGAAGAATTAATTCACACCCAGGCAATTGCCGAGAAGCTGGATGCAATGTACCAGCTGGCGGGGCAAGAAGCGGCGCGCTTGAGAGTACAGTACGGCGCGCAGGAGGATGACCGGCAGCACCTGATCAGGTGAATTGGCTCCCCTGCTCTGCTGTGCTGCTGAGGTTGACAGTCATCCACCCCCCAGAGTTACGCAGACAGGGGCACTTATGCCGCAAGTGTGGGTCCAACAACCAGCGCGTCGGCGCTTGCACGCCAACCTGTCAAAACAAGCAGCTTGGTATGTGCGGCACTGAACTTTGCTGCCCCCTAAAATGCAAACACCCGCCCATCCAGACGCATGATGCTGCTGAAGCGAGACAATTACCAATTGAAAAAGGAGCTGACTGCTTTGCATCGGGAAATGGACGCTTTGGTCGACTTGGCGGCCGCTGCAGACGCAGACTGTGTTGGCTCAGCAGCGGACGTTGAGGAGCATGACGAGCCAATTGTCTTCGCAAGCAGGGGTGGTCCTACAGCCTGCCGCCCCATGAGCGCCGCAGCAGCACCCGGGCGTCCGTCAAGCAGCAGGGTTCAGGCTGCTGCCAGGCCCGCCACAGCAGCGGCCAGGGGCTGCAACAGGCACGCTGCAATGGATGCACACCAGCGGGACGCTGTGCCTGGCGGCGAAGCCGGCTGTTCCCAACCAGACCAGGCATCTGTCACCCAGCTGCAGCGGTTGCTGGCCAGCGGGCAGCGGCGATTGCGAGCGCTGCGTGCTGTGCATGTGGCAGAATGCAGTCGCCGGGCACAAATGCAAGGGTTGCTGGTTGACACACTACAGCAGTTGAGGCGCCAGCAGGTGGCCCAGGCATGCAGCATGCAGCAGCAGCAACAGCAGCAGCAGTTGTCGGACTTGAAAGAGACGTGGCCGCAAGCCGGGGTCAGGCACGTCGGCTTGAACCCATGTTCCAAGCCACGGCCTTGCTCTGCACGCTCCCCAAGTTCATCAGGCCGCGTGTGTCCAAGCGAACTCCTTCAGCGGCCGGTGACGGCGGCCCCGGGCTCACGCCGCCCTGGCACACCTGCGGCCACAACCCTGAACACGGGTGCCGGCGGCGGAGTCAGCAGTGGTTGCAGCGGCGATGCGACAGCCGTGGGGCTGGCGGCGCAGGAGCAGCTGGTCCTCGCGCTGCTGGGTCACTGCTTCCCTGATTTGGAGGACACTCACGGCGACAATGGCGGGGCCAGCGTCGGGGCAAGCGAGGCAGCCCAGCACGCTCCAGCAGGGATGGACATTGCAGGCTCACCAAACGCAGCGGCGGGCAGCGGGCGCAGCAGGGCTGGGATCAGTGAGCTGTGTGATGGCCGAAATAGCCAGGAGGACAGCAGCAGCCGCAGGCCGTTGGCAAACTGCAGTGGTGGCAAAACCAGTGGCGGGGATGGCAACGGTCGGAACGGCTGTGGCGGCGATAGCGCAGAGCGTGTCGACAGCCCAGATGTGGGTAGAAGCAGCCCAAGCAGGGTGCCGCCGCCGTCAAGCGTCCCGGCCGCTGCAACACCATACAGCAGTCCTGCATTTCCCCGCCGCTGGCCGCTAGGCGGCTATCCGCAATCGGGACACCGTCACCACGCAGGTAGTGTCGGAAGTAGGCAGCAGGCGACAGCACTGGTGCTGCAGAAACACCCTCCACACCAGAGGCCGCGTCAGCGGCCAACAGGGGCAGGGAGCGACCCTGCCGCTCAGCTGGAGAGCTTTGGCAGCCCGCAACTGCGACCCACAACAGCAACGGCATGCAGCAGCATTGGCGGCCACAGGTGCGATGGAGGTGGCGGCACTGCTTGCGGTGGCGCAAAGGTTGTGGATGTGAATGCGCTCATGGTTGGTTTTCTGGGCGGCAAGTGATGTGGGCGTGCCTGTTTTTAAATGTTGTCTCATGGTGTATGTGGTCGTTAGTCGAAGTAGTCAATGTAATCTGCACATCACCTGATAATGAGAACTTCGAGTCGTTCTTTTGGATGGTGCAGTGAGGAGTACTACTGTCTGTAATGCATCGTGAAGTAGTCCTTCGTCGGAAATTTCTGAGCTGGATGGTGCTCCGGTGGTACACGATGGTTCCCGGTGGTCTACGCGCTCGGCGGAATCCGTTTAAAGACCGACGGGCAGGCTCGATGGAAAACCATCGTGCACCACCGTAGGCGTTTGCTAGCCCATTGAATGCGCTTTATATACCATATATACTTGTAGCACGCTTTTGCGGATAACTTTGCTGATACTTCTTCTAGCTGCAGATCCCTGCAGAGCTGAAGCGCAGGGCTGTGCGCCTTGCTGTTGCTGCAGTGCCCCAGTGGACCAGGCCGCCATGCGGCAGCAAATGGTTAAGTGCACAAAATTTTACCATTGCATGCGGCCAGCCATGAGCATGCAAGGCACAAATTGCCAGCAGGGTTGCATAATTGACCCGAACTGATTTTTAAGGGGGGAGAGCAGCAACCTCGGGGTTAGACACTGCAGCGGTCAAGTCGGGCCCCAATACAGGGGACTTGTGTGACACTCACAGCAGTGAAAATGCAACTCGCCTCAAGGCAAATTTGAAGCTGCCGCATTGCAGCGGTTCGTTGCTTCGACTCGAACGACACTGCATTGGACGCGTTATGGTGGAGGAGGTGGGTGCGGAGCAGCGGCAGGCAGATGCACCTACAAATGTAAACATTAATCAGCAGGCAGCCCTTCCAAACAATGGGGCACATGCAGTTGCTTCTGGCTCACGCGCACGTTGAAGCGGCCTCGCTGATCAACACACAGCTGCAAGATGGTGACTGCATCCAACAGCCACATCATATGCACTGACTGTGCTCGATTACGCCTGTGAGCTATGACGCACCCGGCTCAATAAACAGGTTGCCACAATGAGACAGAACCTCATTATGACTATATAAAAGTTGAGAGCTAGGGTTTAGAGGTAAGGGATTACAATCTATACGAGCTCCCAGGTAGGAGTACGCGAGGGCGCAAAGCAAGCTGCCGTGTGTGTGCACATGCACTAATGGATTGTTTCGCGACAGCATGAGAGCCCAGGGCAGGCCAATGTGAGGTGGGCCTCATGTATCAGTAATGCGGCCACGTTATGGTTGCCAAAACAGGTTGCTCACAAATTCTGAGGAGTCAAGGCTTGATCGCGCTGGACTACTGTTGGCTAATTTGCCTAGAGAACTTTTCAAATTTGTGTGCCCCTGCTGTGCCCCTCACTTCCACCAACGGGGGTAGGCTCTGGGCGCGTGCAGGGATAATCAGCGCTTTACCGCTGCTCCTCTTCTCAGCACAGGCGTGCATGTCTTGCTGCGCTGCTCTAGCACCGCTTCCATGCGGCCTTATTTATGTTGTAATTTATATCAATCTTAAGATCAATCAAGCTTGGCGCAACGGCGGGGCAAGCGCTGCGTTCGTGACCGCTGGGCGTAGTACAATAGTTGTGCACTAATTGTGCGTTACTGCAAGATGCTTGTCCTGCCAACTTGGGCTCTGAGAACGTTACGTACTTTCTGAAGCCCTGAGTCATTGCAACAAGCCTCCCAGACGCATATGCTGGCGATACGCAATCATGTACGCCTTGCTGCACGACTTCGGGGAGGGGTGACATCTGGTGACTAGGACCGTTACAGCGTCCCGCGGCCGTCTGCTTCTGGAGCCATTCAGGCTAATGGGATTGAACATTGTGCACACCGAAGAAAAGGCCACCTCCACACACGGCAGCAAAGCAAGCCACACCAAATTGCATTAAATTAGAAACTCTGAAGGCGATGATTAAACTGGCCTTCTCGGCTCATGAAGCTTTTGCAGGTTTGTGCCTGGCTTTGACCAGGGAACTGATGCTGCTACAGAGGGTCTCGTTCTGCCGCCGCAGCTCCAGCATGCGTTGACTCCGATTCCTCCCCCGCACCATAGTCAGGTGAGTATGCGTCGAAAGCGCTGTCCTCAACACCCAGATCTTCCTCGCCATCTGCCCTGCCTGGTAAGCTCGATACTTGTGAAGTACTCGGAATTGGTGGAGCGCCCTGCCCCCTGCTGGGGGCAGCAGGAGTGCTGGCAGCAGCAGCGGGGACTCCCAGAGCTCGGAGCTCTGGGATGAGAAAAACCCGGGCCCCATGCCTGTTATGGGCGATGACAACGCCTTTGTAGGCAAGTGGTGGTGTGGTGTCCTGGAGATGGTCATGCAGGATGTTGAGCGAGCCACAGTCAGCAGGCAGAGGTTGGGCATGACACCTCGGTGTTGGCCTCCTGCAGGCAGACTTGCTTGGAGGCCTCCTGCAAGCCGCGCTAAAATGCTTAATGTATTTCAAATAACTTCAAATCACACATCGTACCTGGCAGTGTTGCTGCAGGCTTTCCGCCTTGCCGCTGCCACTTGCAAAGGGTGCTGGGTAGCAGTATGATCCCTCACGAGACCCCTCATCAGCTTGAAGATCTAGCCCCAAGGCATTGAAGGCTGATTTGAGCTCCGCATTTCCTTCGTAGGTGACGCGCTGGTCGTGGTGGGCCTGGCTGAGGCTGCCAGCGGCCGTCAAGTCAGTAGGCGCTGCCCGACGCAGCCTCTGTGTGCGTTGACGCGCGCGAAGAAAATCAGTCAGGTTCAACGCAGACAAGTGCAAGGGTGTCACCCATCAGGTGATGGTGTTTGTGCAGGGCTGCCACACACAGATAGTAAACTGGACAGCTCATTGTTGTGATGTTATGCAGCAGACCAAGTCGACACGGTGACTGCATCTACACAGCAAAACGTTCAAGCTCTGTCACCTGCCCTTTTGCACGAGCAAGCATCCTCGCTCACCTCCATGATGAAAGAGGAGAATTGGGACTCCATCAGCCACGAAATATCAGCATCCATCCAGGCCACACCCCCTCGGTCACCAGGGCGGGTGAAGATGCCACCTGCAGCCACTACCTGAGCTGTCGCATGCACCTTGCTGCCACTAGCATTGTTTGCTGAGCCAGGGGCACTCTGCTTTCCACTGCCAGACATTGGGAATGTGTTGCTATTCTTGCGTGCAGCAGCGGCGCTGGGCCCGCCTGCCGGGAAGTGGCCGCCGTTGATCACCCGTGGCACAGCGGGCACGATGCATTGCCGCCCGCGCCGGATTCCGGTGGTCCGCAAGAAAGTCAACCACTTCTTGGCGCTGCCCACGCCTGTCCCCGGCTTTGCGCCTGGTGGGAATCTTGCGCGCCAATGTGCCAGAAGCTCGCGCCCAACAACATCAGAAACCAGCCATCCAGCGCCGTGGCCCGCCACAAAGTCAGTACGCGTCAGCCTTGCGACCACCCGGCCGGTCGCTGCAGCTGCCTGCCCAATGCTGGCACCACCAGCCCCCAAGATACACCACAAAGTGCGGTCGCTGCCCACCAGCCACTGCGTTGCTGCAAAGTATGCCAGCGCGTCTGGCGCCATGTGGAAGCTTTCAGGCAACACGAGCAGTGATGGGTAGCCGAGGCACTCCAAGAAGAGCCGCAGCAGAAAGAGCTGCAGCGCGGGGCGGCCGAGGTCCGATGGCGCAGCACATCCGGGGCCGGGGGGTTTTGTGTTTGTGCCCGTGTGCATCTGGGCGTTTCCACTACTGGTGACGTCGCAGGAGTGGTGGACGACCTTGATGGCACCCTGCGTTCCGACGGTAAAGCGCATGGCTGTATCCTTGACAGCGGCGTCGAAGCCGTCCTGCAAAAGTCGTGTTGTGAGAATACGCATATATCAATCAGCTTGCGTGCACATGTACATTTGTGCTGATTTTCAGCAGTGCTCGTCTGCTGCGTGTGTGCATCCATTCAAGGCAAAACGCTCTGTTTGGTTGCGTGCACACACACTCCTGCGTTCCCTACAAGCGGGTCCCACCTCACCACAACTATGTAGACGTGGTACATCCCGCGCACGTCGTCACGTGCACGGCTCCAGTGCGCCAACAGCTCGTGTATCGTGCCCTCTAGCCGTGCTGCAGACCCGGGGCCGGCGACAACGGCAAGCGCGGTGGCCAGCTGGGAGCGGGGCCGGGCGGGGCGGCTCCTGGGGCAAGCTGCGGAATCAGCGCCGGCCAGGGGGCCCATGCTAAGGCTGATTGTGTTGAGGAATAGATCCTGCAGGTGATGACCATGCACGGCAGGGCGCGTGAGGATTGTGATTAGTCATGGGGCAAGTCTCTTGCAAAATCATACCTACTTTACAAGTGTTCATTTCAAGCACACAGATGCAGGTCATGCATGTGCACACAAGCACCTGCTGTATTCAAGCCCACTTGCGTCCAGTTCTGCTTTCATATATCAGAGGGCCCCTCATAACAAGTAGCCCACCTGGTACCTCCCCGCAGATTCCATCGACGCGCGCAGTTCCCCCTTGCTCCCAGGCCCGTCCTTGAGCAGCTGCAACGTCGCAGCCGCCCGAGCTCGCCCGACCACCTCCGCAACCTTCTGGGACCGCAACTCTATTTCATAATCCCCCTCTGTCTGTGGCGGCGTATTAGGCCCAGCCTCAGAGGCCTCCCTCTCTCCCGGCAAGCGGCTGCTGCCCCCGCCGCCATCTGCGGGTCTGTGGCCGACTTCACCGGGGTCGAGTTTTTGCGCGAATGCGTTGATCTGGAAGGGCTCAAGAGCATGCTGCTGACCATTCATGCCGGAAAACCGGGAGCTCGTGTGGCCTGACGGCTGTGCTGCACCTAGAGCAAGCCCCGGCGGGCCGGCCTCCGCGCCGGATCCGTTGCTGGTCAAGGCCCGGGGCTGCTGCTCCTTTGCGTCCGGCGCGTGCTCGGGTGCCCGGGTGTCATCCAGGCGCCGCCAGGAGCCGGCTGCATTGCTGGTGGAGCTGCGGGGCCTGACATGCACAACGCCCACCAGTGCCAGCTGAGCATCACATGCACAACAGCGCGCATGTGCGCGGAGCGAAAGGGGTGAGCTCGGTCAAACGTGCCATCACTGCTGATCACGGCAGCGTGCCATACCCACACGCAAGGGAAAATCGAGACTTACCATGCCAATCAAAAGAAGCGCAGATGCCCGAGAGAGGGGCCTGCAGGAATCTGCTCTGCCGCCTGATGTGCAGCGGCCACTGCTCATGTTGCGCAGCAGACCAAGCATACGCAGCGATCCACCACCGCCGTCAGAGCCACTGTCTTAGGGGATGCCGTCGGTTTTGTAGTCTGATACTTTTCCTACGCTTGTGTGCGACCGCACTGCATACATATCGCACCCTTGCCGAGAGCCCCCGTGGCAAACCAAACCGTATGACGCAACAGGCGTCTCTGTGATCATCTCAGACGTGGGAGTGTCTAGTAAACAAACCATCTATGCATGTCACCACCGTGAAAATAGCCACGGCAGCCCAATACCGTACCACGAGTGCCTTAGTGATCTTCCCTAGGTAGTGGGTGCATGTTAGCGCCGCCGAGAGTTTCCAAGGGATGCTGATGCGCGCTTCCAGCATCCCGCAAGGGGCCGCGGCTGCTGCGGGCTGCACATTACCGGCAGCAGTGCTGCTGCGGAGCCCCGCCGCACTGCGCGAGCCCAGCGCACGCCGCATTCGTGTCGCAAATGCCGGCAGTGGGGGCATAGCAAGCAGCAGCAGGAGCAGCATCGAGTTGCCCAGCAGCAGCCGCAGCCGGCGCCCCCACCACACCAGCTGCCGCGCAAGGGGCGCGCCTTCCTCAGCCTCCTCGCGCATCAGGCATTCTCGACGCGGCCCTGCTGCTCCGCGCGCAGCCGCGGACCCCCTGGGGGAGGGCGAGGGCGAAGTGTACCAGGTCAGAGAGTCTGACGACGACTTGTGGGCGACGGTCTCGCTGCCCATGGCGGTGACGTCAGCGGAAGGCCAGCAGGTGGAGTACCTCGTGCTAGACACGGACGGCGCTCTGGCGGAGCCGGCGGTGGAGTCATACCTCAAGCGGCTGCAGGAAGAGCGCGACGCCGAGGGCGCCGCCCTCGGGCGCGCGGCAGGCGCTGACAATGCTAAAGCCGAGGGGCCGGACAGCAGCGGTGGTGCAGTGGAAGGGGAGGACGCGTGGGCGCTGGAACCGACTTTGCTCAAGCGGATGGCGGCCGTGAGGGACGCGGAGAGGGGCGTGATTGTGCAGGTAGGGTGCCGTGGTGTCTGCAGCCGGGGGCGCCGCGCCGTGGCTGATGCTTGCTGCGCATCATGGGTTGCCTGGCGTGGGCAGCGGTGTGTTATGAGGCTGCACATTTGTTGGCAAGTCTCCGCAGCGGCACTTGGCTTGGGCCATAGTGCAGGCGCCCGACCGGGTCCGTTGATCCGGCAGCCGCGCCCCTCTTGTTAACTCACACGCCTAAGCAACAACAACACCTGCTATATCGTCCTGATCCGCAAGTCTTGACGGCCATTCGCACCCTTGCACGCCTTGTGGTGCCGCCACCCTGCCGCAACCCCCCTGCGCTTCCGGCACCCCCACCCCCTCTGCGCCAACTCTCTACCCCGCGTACCCCTCCTCATTCGCATCACCCCGACTTGCTTTTTCTCGAGCCGCTAGATGAACCCAGACCGCTTCGATCCCGCACGCGACATCACAGCTCGCCCCGCCCTTGCAATTCCTGCCCCCACTGTACGCCCTTGCCGCGTCATCCCCCTCCTCCACACCAACCCCAACCAATCCATCCCCTCCAGGAGCTCATGTACCTGCTGTGCGTGAAACGCCTGAAGGATGCCTCCCTCACGATGGTGACAGACCTGGGAGACGCCGCCCCCACCGGCCTCGGCGCCGCCGGCCGTCCTCCCAACCCGGCTGCCGGCGCCGGCGCCGCCGACGCTGCGGCGCCCGCGGATGCGGGCACGACGGCGCCAAGCGCGCGCGGCGCGATGGGGCGGCGGATGGAGGAGCTGATGCCTCTGGTATCCCTCGCAGTGGCGGACGGCATCCTGGGTTACGTCGGGGCGACGGTCACCACGAGCATGCGGGCGCTGGCCAAGGACACGCCGCTGAGCATGGACAGGGTGCAGGCCGCGCGGCTGTACGCTGGGATGCTGGAGGTGCGGGCTTGTGGGATGCTCAGGAGGGCGGCAGGCTGGGGGCCCAGCAAGGGGGTTTGAGGAGTGCGAAGGGCTGAGTCGCGGGGTAGTGCAGTGGGCGGGTGATGCAGCGAAGTGGGTGCGGGTGCGTGGATGGTTTTTGTTCAAGGTGGCCGTGATCACTTGAAGCAATTGCCTAGGCTGGCTTGCATTGGCGAAGCCCCTAACCCAGACCTTGCCAGGTCCACGGCCTTAGCCCCGCGCGCATGCTCCTTCTGCATGCTCCTCCCAGCTCTTCACTCTTGACACCGGTCCCTTACCCGCCCGCCACCACCCTTCCCACCATGACTGTTTTCCAGCTCTTGTTGCCTCTTACCTTGGTCACCACTCTCGTGGCCGGCCTCAGCCAATTTGCTCCCCTTTGCGCCCCACGCCCGAGCGTCAAAGGCCTCCCAATGACCCCCAGCACACGACAACTTCGCCCCGCCCCACGCTTTCAACCGACCGCGCCAAACCCGCCGATGCTCCCGCCCACCACAGTTTGGCTACTTCAGCCGCGCCCTGGAGGCGGAGTGCGGCCACCGGGGGATCCCAGTAGGCGACGACTCGGAGGCGATGGTGCGGCTGGCAGACGCGCTCACAGAGGACCAACTGCGCGGCATGTGCGAGGTCAAGGTGCGTTTTAGGCTGAGTGTCGCGCCCTGGGGGCTGGGGTGTGATCTTTGTGCAAGCGGCGAAAGTGCACTGAGCATAGAGACGGCGAGGGAAGAGGTTTGGAGAAGAGGGAAGAATGGGGGGAAGTCTGTGTGACCTTGAGTGATTACGCCCAATGCGCGCATTGCAACTCCGCACACAGCCAAGGCTGTTTTGTGGCAACACTGCGAGTTGTGCGCCAGACATGTGCACAAGCTGGTGCTGCTGTAGCCACGCTGCAGGCTGAGCATGGACTTGGGCATGCCATTCCTCACTTGTTGTCTCACAAATGCAACACTCACGCTACTGCATCCTACGCCGGCATATCCATGCGGCAGTCCGCTGATGCCTGGTACGCCGCGGTGAGCGATTTGGAGGGGCTGTCACGCCACTTCATTGGCAATCAGCAGAGTCCAGGCAGGGATTTATGGCAAGCAGCTCAGCAGTTCATAGCAAGGTATCGTGCCTATCCACAGGGCGCTCCACAAGTATTTCCTTTCTCTCAGCAGCACTTGGCTCGTATTGTCGTGCTGGAACAGTTCTGGTGCCCAAGTTAAGCATAGCTGCAGCAACCTTGACGCCTCGCTCACTTGGTGCCTCATGCCACCATCCTTGCAGGTGCGCCACATTGGCGGCCTGTTTGGCCTGCGCCCCAACCCCGACCTTCAGTTCGACAGCTGTGCGCTGCCATACCGGGAACTTCACGCCACCATATCTGACATCGTCCTTGAGCCCGCGTCGTCCATTGCTGAGCACTACAGCCCACCGGGCACTGCCAAGGAGCTGATGCAGAAGGCACGCCGCAAGCAGGATCGCGGCTGGCGGGTGGATGACACTGAGACGACCCCTGACCTGCCAGAGGCGGACATGGTCGAGTTTGGGGTGGGGCCTTTTGGGGCGCTGCTGGTTGAGGCTGCCGTGATTGGGTGCCTGCTATGGGACACTGAACAGATGGTGCAGGACGAGTTTGGGTACCGGCTCGAGGGCAAATTGGCGCGACAAGAGCACGTCGGCGGCGCACACAGCAGTGATGCATAGTTGCGGCCCTGCACTTTCGTTGTATTAGTCACACAGTGCTCATTAGCAGCACAAGGCTGGCTGGTTTTTGCGTGCAACCCGGTGCAATGAGACGGGCACATGTTACCAAATCGCTGTTAGTGCGTGGATGTTGCCATTGCTGTCATCAACACCCACGAAGCTACGATGATGCAGGGTCTCATGCGTGATAGAGTAACAATTATATGGATTCATCGGTCTGCTGTTAGAGGCAGAAGCATGGCATATTTGTACTTGCCACAGAGATTTGCAAATCATGCAGCCAGCAATAGAGCAAAAATCTGGAAGACACACAGGCACCACGCGGAGCTGCAGCTACGGGAAACCCCGATAAACCATTTGCTTTGCCTTTTTTTACATGTGAAGTTACATGACAAGTCGATGACGCCCTTGCAGATGCGGCTGCCCAAGCCCGGCCGCGCCGGGGACCGTACACTGGGCGCAAAACACCGCGCGTTGCCAACTGAGAACGAGCAGTGACCATGGTGGTTGCAGGGACATGAGCACGGCAGCAGTGACACCCCTTCTGCCCCCACAGCAAGCCGAGCCAAGAAGGGCGACCCATTCACAGGAATATCAAGCCCGCCGGGAACGGCGTGCCCGGAAGGCTATGAGGCATGCATGTGCAAACGATACAAGCTCAGCCTCGCGACTGACATGTGATGAACCCATCAACGCGGGGCCTGCAGCCCTAGCAAGCGCGGCCCAGGGTCCGCCAGCGCTCCTCGGCCCCCGCAGCCGTGTACCGCTCCTCATCCTTTTGCTGTGCATTTGTTACAAAAAATCAGACTTGGAGCTCGTGGTCAGTCACCGAGAGCACGGATCTGGCAGACACACATGTACCAGGCAGGGCTGCGGCCGCGAGAAACCCCGAGAAACCGCCATCTTCCAAGCCACAACGCCGTAACCCTTACCCCAACCTCAAAGTCGTTCGGGGCAGAGGGGGCGAGCCCGGCTCCACGAGCAAAAGCGGGGACCCATGCATAACACGCGAGCGATCAAAGCAGGGCACGGGGCGCGCCAACCCGCAGAACGCACGCGGCCACAGCGACCGGGGTGCGCACGACACACCCATGCAGAAACCCCTGGCCAAATGAGAACAAGGTCGGCTTCACACAAGGGGCCCGTTGCCCCTCTGCTAGAGGCAAGGTCTTGAAACACATGCACTCCAACGCCCGCACGGCAGGGCCCAGGCCCCAACACGGTCCGCTGAGCGAGCGCCTCCGGCCCCAAAAGGTCCAGACGAGAAGAGAAAAGCAACATGAATCTGGCGCCGCAAGGCTGCTATGAGGCGCCGCTCTCCCCCCGGCTGGTGGCCTCCTGGCATGCGCTCGCGGCGACACGGCCGCAGTGCCTCTTTTATTTTACAGACAGTCGGTTACACGGGGGTAGCGAGGTGCCGAGCACCTGCGTGCAACCTAGAAA